CGTCGGTGCCCGTGGGCTTTCCAACGTATAGCGGTTCGACGACGTGCTTCCCGTGCCGGTTGGCAAGGTTTGTACCGAAGTGCTGGTCATGTTTGTTGACGTGATGGAAGCAGTATCGTTGACTTCCGGAGGCAATCCCCTGATTCGGCGGCTGGTCCGATGCACGGGAGTATTGACTGGCACTGGACTCGTATTACGGCTCCCTGGGGGGGTCTGCAGCATCCGTGAGACTACCCAGCACCTTCCATCAGTTTGTCACGATGAGTCACAAGTACTGGGGGGATTTATTGAACGACCGGGTAGCTAGCTCTAAGACGATGCGTCAGTCGTGGCTGGCTCTCGAGCAGAGAAGAAGACACGCGATCTTCTTTTTCCCCGAGATTGAGAGCCACTCTTGCTGTCGACCCACTACGTGCTGGTGGCAATATAGACTTGCGCTGTTCTAACCATGCGTGATCACACTGGCGAATCGTGTAGATTTGCCTGATTTGAGATAGGTAGACCTCACATGACAATAAAATTACCCTACTCAAACCACCGGGTATGAATAGGTCTCGTATAGCACTGCCGATAGTCGTGCTGCTTACGAGCAACACTAAAACATACAGTCGAGCCCACATATAACGGCCCCACTTGAAACGAACTTTCGCTTAAAACGAACAATATCCGCGTGACCGTGAAAATATGCATTGGTTCAATGGTACAAAATCGTACTTGCAACGGTCGTCTCCAAGCGCCGCTGATCAGTTACAGCGAACGGAGTCGGCGGTTTGCCGACCTCCCGGGAAACCAATTTCGACCACCGATCAGGCAGCGGCGAGGTGCCCATACATTCTTATTGTTAAACGCCTACCTTGCCTTCACGACCCTCTAGTTGCCGCTCTCCCCAACCCATGGAGGAAAAAAAGTTGTTTCCTTTCTCCATGCCCTGACTTTTTTGTTACGCACCCCTCCATCCTTTGTCGCCCCACTACTCTGAGCACCTCGCATCGCCAGACGAGGCCCGTGTTTTCACACTGCCACCAATCTTTCAAAGACCAGTCGGTCATCTATCCTGTTTTTAATCACTGGTACTGTCGTTGGCATCGCCGGCCTGGAGTGACGAGACCATTTGCCAACATCGTCGGGCACCGATTGTATCCGATAGTCTGCGTCTAGTGCACGCGCGTACGCTACTCTACCGACTCTGATAATTTGCGATTCATTTCGTGTTTAGGACTTGTTCTCGCTGACTTTGCACTTGGCTCAGCATGCCTTCTGCGCGCGTGTGGAAGCGCGAAAATGGCTGTTAATTTGCGCGGAACGAAGCCCGAAATCTCGAAGTTCGTGAGGCCACGCAAATCCGCCGGCGCAACGAAACGATTTTTTGACCACAGCCGCCGATTCTTCGAACACCACCACGCGCACCGATTCAGGCGGTCATCATGCACACTTTCCAAGTTTTTCTACGTGCGAGTTTCGCGGACCTTTCAAGCAAGCTACCCAACCTGCCTCCTTCCCGTGTGTTTTGGTTTTCAAGGCCGCCCTCCTGCCGCATCCTCCCCTCTTTTTATCGCAACTCCTTGCCCTTTTCTCGCAAGTCTGCTCTTTTCTCTTGATCACAACCCCTTCGCCCGTCTCCACTGCTCCGCCACGCTGGCTCAGGTTAGTTTCGTTTTATGAGTGGAAACCGGCCCAGAGCTGTTCCACGCGTTCTGGCATGTGTGTCGCGTGTGCACGTCTTGCTCGCTCTTGGTCTGCGTGGTCATGATGGCCAATGGGAGGACTAGCACGCTTTTTAGTGCCGCCCAACAAAACGTCGAAAGTGTCACCCCTTCGCTTGAGCATAATCCGCGCGTTGGGTGCCGCATTGCGGAGCACTTGCTCGTAGCTGTTGACCACCTGGCAGCCAACTTGCCGCTTCGAGCGTCCAGGTATTCAGCTGTGGAGATGGTGAATATTTCGTGGGCAGTGGTGTTGACTACATGCGTGCGAAACTGTTTTCGCGAGGCTGACTTCGTCGACATCGGGCCCGATGCCGAGCCTGAAGCTTCCGTACTGCGGCGGCGATTTGTGGCAGCGCGTCCTCAACTCCGACCTGGGAGAGCGGGTGGGACATCTGTTGCGATGGTTTAATTACGGCTGATGATGGTGCCGACACTGCGGAACCGTGCACGGATCGGGACATTTTGAACGAAGTACGTGGCGAGAGCGATTTGGAGGAATCGGATTGCGAGAACGACGAAACTTTTGAGTCAGTGCCTCATGCAGCTTATGCCACGGGCCTCGGCGAACGAGCACCCTGCTGTTTTAAATGAACTCGAGACCACCCTTATCGCTTCTGCTCTTTGAAACACGTGCATCACGGACTTTTTGGGGCAAAAAAAGTTTGTGTTTTCATTCACAGCTTTTTTTTAAAAGCTCTGTTTCATTTACTACGAACTTCGGGATACAGCGAACGGATGCCCCGTCACGCTCAGGCTCGTTATAAGTGGGCTCGACAGTACTTGGCCACGAACGGGTACGAGTTCACTGTGCCAAAGACGCAGCGTTGCAAGAGTGTGAAGTGGCGTTATGGGACTTGAGATAGGTAGACTTCGTGTAGTCTGCACCATTGAGGAGTACTGTATTTACTCGCATATTAGCCGCACTCTTTTTTTCAAAAAATCCGGCTTGGATTAAGGGGTGCACCAAATTGAGGGTAAAATTTTCGAAAAATTTTTTCGACTCTGTTCTCGCACTTTAAATCTGCACATTTGTCAAGTAAAAGGCGACTTTATCATTTATCAATTAATTCAGCATAAAACAAACATACCTATGTACCTTTTAATGAACAAGCGAAAGCCGTCAACTGCACACCCACGTGTAAAATTTATTTACACAAAAGTCGTAGGTGTTCCTCCTTTTCCCTATTCGGAGTCCGAGTTGGAGAGCACACATTCATCCTCGCCGAGCGGGGATTCTTTTTCGGTGTCCGATTCATCCGCACCCGACAACATGTCATCCTCACTCGCATCCAGTGCGTTTGAGATACCAGTCTTCTTGAAGCTTTTCTTGACGACTTCGACAGAGATCACCTGCCACGCTTCTACGATCCATGCGCACAGCATTTTCACAAGCGGCCTCTTAATCTTACCACCTGGAGTCAGCTGATGTTGTCCTCCAGCCATCCTGGTGGTGTACAGCCTTCGAACATTGTCCTTGAAAGACTTATTCAAGGACACGTCCAAAGGCTCAGTATCGTTGCGAGGCCGCCCGGAATCACTGCCAGATCTGTGTGCAGCTCCTTTAGCTCATCTTGTACGCGGTCTACTAGGTTCCCTTTGAAAACTCTCCAGGACATACATGGACGGGAACAACAGACCACCTGGCTGCCGACCCCAGACTGTCTTTACCCAATCCACCATGAGTTCCGGGCTCATCCATCCTTTTTCCTTTACTCTGACGTGGATGCCTTGAGGGAAATTCGCCAGTGAGAGCGTCTTACATTTAAAAGTAACGTAAGGCTTGCACCCATCCGTTGTCACTGCCAGCATTATGGGGCATCGTTGTTTACAAGCGCGAGACGTTCCGACGATGACGCTCCCTGCACCTTTCTTCTCCACTCTGATGTTTCGTGGAATATCAAAGCAAAGGGTCTTGTCGTAGCTCCCGTATATGCCGGACCAGTTTCTCTTCGACGTTCGGTGTTTCCGCAATGCCGGTGTTGGCATTGCGGACAGCCCGTTGTGTCTTCTTCGTCGCCTTAAGTTTTTCTTTTTGATGCCTCTATTACCGAAGACTGGTTTCTCCAACACCGAAATGCCTGTTTGCAGCTCTGTTGCCATGCTCTAGCACGTACTGAACTGCCTTTTAAATCCAGCAGTGTAGTTTGCGTACTTCCCCATGATGTAACCAAAGTTGAATACATGACCACAACGTACGCACACCGTTTGCAGATCGAGCCCCCGGCATTGTACACGTGACCGCCAAGGACCGCGACGATTTTGGGGGTATCAGTAATTGGTGGAACAGCCATTTCTTTTTTTTTTTTTTCGATCATGGACGTTTTTTTTTTTTTCAAGTTTTATTTTGACAAACTCGTTGGTTAGCCGTCGCACTTCGAATTTTTTTTATTTGCTCGTCGATTTGCCTTCTTTTTGTCTTCAGGGTACGGGGACCGCGTTCCAACTGTACCGCTGGGGGGTAGAATTGTTTCTGATCATGGCCAAGTTCAGGGTGCGCCTATTATGCGCGGAATAAAAAAAAAATCGAATTTTCTGTGACCAAACTAGCGGTGCGCCTATTATGTGAGTGCACCGATTTGGCGAGTAAATGCGGTAAGCTGCTTACACTCTGTGTAAGACAGCTTAAAGCAAATCACCTACTAGTTAGCAAAGTGACTGGCAGTTGAACGTTGATGTGATGGCAAGAAAAGGTACACCAACTCAAACGTTTGATAAAGATGTTCTAGTCTCCATACAGAAACCCCATTTACGAAAGTCGGTGCTTGTCATTTCTTTTGTTATGTTTTATATAGACTAGATAGGCTCTAGACTTTACCTATGTTTTTCTGTGCTTTTGAGAATGGTCAGGTCTAAGCTCAGCCTTCTGCGATCCCCCGCTGCTATGCCACTTAACTCATATTTTGTCCTGTTATACTGTGTGAATATTGAAACTTTTATATGAATCCAACGGGAATGAAACAGTCTTCAAATGCCATTTTGAATATGTGTGTAATATTAACATGTTTTGCATTTCTAATTTCCCTATGTTGCTATAGTGTATACAGCATTTTTGATGATTACCTTATTGTATCTTTTAGCAAGATGCAAAACTGCATTCTGTGCTGCTCATTGCTTGCTTGAATATTCGGAGTTCGTCAGAGCGTACAGTACCTTCACTGAATTATCAGTCCGGGTTGAATACTTTGTAGCATTCATATATACATATTTTTAATGGATTAGGCTTCAGATAATGGCACAATCCTAGCTTACTTCTGAAGTTTTTTAATTGTCATCTTACCTTGTTATTTTGCACAGGATGTCTCCGGAAGACACAAATGCACCGTCAGAGCTTATCGAACCGCCGCCCATCGATGGCGACGCCACCAAGGACGACATCTCCGCTGTGGTGGAAGCGGCAACAGCCGCGGCACAGGCGCCAGTTGATCCTTCGGATCCACAGAGCCTCCGCGCCAAGATGCAGGGGCAGATCGAACTCCTGCGGCTCAGCATGGCTCGGCTAGAAGAAACGTTCACGCAGAATCCTGGGCAGCAGTCGTGTTCGGTCATCCGTAGGCTTCTAGAGTTGTACAGGCATTGCAAGTGAGTCGATGAGACCTCAGGAAGCAAATCAATCCAGCAAATAGTGAGGTTAAGGAAACCATAGTGCATTAAATTGCAGTAATTGGGATGTAAATTGAAGAATCGCACTTTCTGTTGGCGACATCCAAATCTATATACCTCGAATTATGCGTTTGAGGCTCTAGTACTATTTGAGCTTCAGCGGAAGGTGCTTTCTCGTTCATTTCATTGGGTGTTCTTGGAGTGTTGGCCAGTGCCACTCCTACCAAAAGCGGGGAACAAAGTTAGTTAGATTAATAAAATTGAATTAACTGCAAGTAAGTGAATTAATGGATTGCAACTTGGATGACAATGTACACATCATTTTATTTCAGTTTACATCATAATTACTACACTATAGCTAAAGACAACAATTGATGTCCCCATGCTTTCCTTACCCCAATTGTCTGTCGGATTCATTTTGCTGCCATGTAAATTTATGGCGTCGTCAAGATTTGATTCGATTTGATGTTTATGAGATTAACTTATGCTCGGCAAAAGGGACACTCGCGGTTCAAGCAAGTCGTGGTACAATGATTGCAGTCAGTGTGGTCGTCGGTCATGGATAATCTGATAATTAGTGAAACACATCAGCTTTTACGTGTGGAATCGAACATTCCAGCATTATTGCTGGTGCTTGCCTTAGTTCCAGAACCAACCCTACTTGTGTACTTGTGCCTTCTTTGTACGTGCCTCTTGTGCTGCTATTCAATATTTAACTCCTGGCATCACGTGTAATCCTACAGGACATTAAAAAGCAATCATGAAGGTTTCTAAACATTTTTGCAAGGCCTGCACTGAACAATAGCACTTCAAGTGCAAGCTAATGACATGAATTCTCATTGAAAGCTAACATCATTCTCTGTAACATTATCTCGTAACGTCATTCTCTGTGTACCCAGGCACTTTGACCAGCTACTAGGAACCAACTACTTCCAGCAACGGCACCTGCACGTGCTTGTGGAACGCATCCGGCAGCGGGGCCGCATCAACAGCCCCCAGCACGTGTCCGAACAGATCACCCGTCTCTTCTCGGCCTCCCTGGACGCCGCCCTGCACGATGAGCTCGGCACGCCCGACATCCCCGAGGAGAACATCATCAACGAGCAGTTGCAGGTGCGTGCAGCCTTTTCGCCTGTTTGCTGGTTTTAACAAAGGAGCTGTTTTTCGTTCCTTGGCGTGGCCAGAAAACTTAGCTGCACCGATTACGTGCGATGCAGTAGCTCCACAAATGCATGTTTTCTTTGTCTTCTTCATGTCTTCTTCATCCCGGGATCAATTATTCGAGAATTGACGTACATTTGAGAAATGAGGATGGTTATAGTACACTTATCTGTATTTTCTAGCCATTTGATGAATACTAGGGTCAGTGGCGAGCACATTCGTTGAGGTTGGCAAGATAAATGTACATATAGGTGTTTTTCACTGTGGGGCTGCTGTAGAAAACAAAAGAAAAGGACAGAAAAGATAAACGAGAGAAAACAGAAAGGACTGGACAAGAGCAGTGAGAGAAAACCTTGCTAATTAAGACATTTGTTATTAGACCACACGAACGAACAACCAGCTAATTATTGTCGTGTTAATTAAGACCTCACAAATTATCTAATTTGGCATCAAGCTACGATATTAGTTCAATTTTGCTCCATTAGGCCAAGCTGGCCTGTTTCTATATTTATTTTATTTTTTCAATTCAATCTTGCATTGACATTTTGGAAAAGACCCTCTTGGTCCACAGATTGTCAGCAGCTGGGAGTGAACATCGGAGTGTTTGTCTGCACTACTTGCTATCATGGCTACGAGTTTTACTAACACTCCAAGGTTTACGTGCATGTATATATCCATGAAGTGTAAAATGAATGTCGCTGTAGCTCAGTTGGTAGAGCATCAGACGCATTACATGAAATTTGCAAGTTTGGTCCTTACCGTTTTAATTTTGTCACATTTATACTGTGGTTACTACAAATAATGTCCGCTGTACATTTCTTGGATTAATAGTCTGTTGGTTGTCAGCAATACTGCGTGTAACAAAAAAAAGCAAGCCCTTGTAGTTCTACTTCTCATGTAATGGTCACACACCATAATGTAAGAAAACCTGCATTATACAGGTCATTTTGTTATGGAAAGCATTTGGCGGTGATGCACTCGACTGTACTTGTGTCGGTCTTCATGCGTGGCACGATACTGCAGGCGTCGGAGGGTGCGCAGTCGCCACCGCCGACGCAGCCGGCCAAGGAAGAGACGGGTACCCAGCACCCTACGAACCCGCAGCCACGGAAGCCCACAAGCGTCAGCTGCCGACTGGAAGGCAGTGGGGGCGGCTCGCTTGAGCCGCGCAACATCTGCCAGCAGTTGTGTGCCATACTCAAGGCGAGGTTGCTGCGAGCACACGAGGATGGTCCAGGTGCGGAATTTGCGCAGTTTGGGGCCCTAAAGTAAAGGCTGAGTGAAAATGTACTGGTGGTTTAGTTGGTTGATAATTATAGCCTGTGGCAGCGCACGTTGGGTGAAAGGATGTCGCGAAACACAGAGCGCTTGTGTGCGTCTTTTTTTCGTGTGGTCCTTTCATCTGACTTTTGCTGCCGTGCACTAAATATAGAATCTTAATTGAAACATGGCACTTTAAGAAAATTATTTCATGGTCAATTTTGAGGAATTCTGGTGAGCTTATGTACATTTGTGTGCCTGGTTTACCCATATGGAAAATATTTTTCTCTTGTGTGGGGGTGCGGGTTATCTGCGAATAATCCGGAAGCAGAGGTCGGCTTCACGGCAATGCATAGCCTGCCGTGCAGTCCGCATCCCCATCGGCATCGTCTGGTGCAAAGCCAATAAAAGCCAACATAGGCCATAGACAGATCCCGTCCGTAGCGTGTTTATTCACTTTTTGCGTGCTTTGTTTGATTTGGTCAACAGCGTCACAACAGCGATTTGACAGCGTCTGTCTCAGAGTCAGGTGTGGCCAGTTTGCACCGTTGGTCAGCTTTGTCTGGTGAGGCACCATGAGTGGGTCTCGGCGACAATCTTTCACCGCGAAAGAAAAACTCGCGATTATAGCTGCTGCGGAAGAAATCGGCAACAGAGCTGCTGCGAGGAGGCACGATGTCGACGAGTCCTGCATTCGCGACTGGCGAAAAAAAAAGGCCTCTCTCGAAAGTGCACACAAGCAGAAGCGAGCATTTCGCGGCCCGAAGACTGGTGCGTACCCCCTTCTTGAGACGCAGCTTGTCAAATTTATTGAGGAGCGGAGGAGTCGCGGCCACGCTGTGTCAACGGAGATGGCGCAGATGGAAGCGCTGAGGTTGGCCCGCGAGATGAACATCTCACGCGAGTTTCGTGCGAGCCGTGGATGGCTCCAGCGATTCATGGCCAGGCACGGATTTTCGATGCGGCGGCGAACGACTATGTGCCAGCGGCTTCCCAACGCCTACGAGGATAAGCTGTTGAGCTATCAACGTTACGTCATCGGGCTGCGGAAGGAGCACAACTACTTGCTCTCCCAGGTGGGAAATGCCGATCAAACGCCCGTGTACTTCGAGATGCCCATGGACACCACTCTGCAGAAAAAGGGCTCGAAATCTGTAAGCGTACTGACGGGCGGAAACACCAAACTACGCTGCACAGTAATGTTGTGCGCTTTGGCGGACGGTACCAAACTGCGCCCGTATGTAATCTTCAAGCGCAAAACGCTACCCAGCACTCCACTGCCACCAGGGATTGTTGTGCGAACCGAAGATAACGCGTGGATGAATGGTGACCTCGTCTGTGACTGGCTTCGCACGATCTGGGAGAAGAGGCCGGGCGCCATGTTGGCACGGCGGTCGGTGCTGGTGTTGGACTCGTTTCGAGGCCACTGCACTGACGCAGTGAAAGCGCGCCTCGCTGACCACCGCACCGACCTCGTGATCATACCCGGTGGCATGACTTCCATGCTACAGCCACTGGACGTGTGCCTCAATAAGCCGTTCAAGGCGCACGTGAAGCGGCTGTATGCCGAGTGGATGGCCGACGGCCTTTACGCCCTCACACCGACGGGGCGCGTGCGGAGGCCAGACATTGCGCTGCTGTGCCAGTGGATCGTGGATGCGTGGGGGGCGATTCCGGCCGACATGGTGCGCAAGAGTTTCAAAAAGTGCGCCATCAGCAATTGCTTGGATGGCACCGAAGATGATTGCGTCTTCGAGAGCGGCGACGAAGCCTCGGATGGCAGCAGCGACAGCGGCGAGTCGGGCGATGATTGAAGGAACGGGAATCGGCGCCGTCAACGTTGCGGCGATCGCTTCGAAATAAAGTTCTTTTGTAAACGAGATTGTGACTGTGACTTCCCAAAACAGTTTTTTTAAGCTAAGCATGCGGGTTATACGCGAGGATTTTTTTTCTTTTTTCGGGGAGTTCAAAGTTAGGGGAGCGGGTTATATGCGAGGGCGGGTTATATGCGAGAAAATACGGTATGTACATTGTGTGCTGGTTTCCCATATGGAAAGATTTTTCTTGTGTAGTGTGTACTTTTTAAAATACAGGTGATTTTTGAGGAGTAACTTTTTTTGGAAATAAGAGAGTTACAAGGTAAGTCAGCATATCCCAATAATCTTGAATCGTAATTGTGTGCAGTGCAACCAAAATAATGTTCTAAACCCATTAGAAGAAAAGTTATAGTAAGTAGAACACTTGTGTGTGAAATCCCAGCTTGAAATTGACAGACTCGAAAATTGTCAACATTGCATAACACTTGTTCGAATTGGTTTAGAACATCCATTTTTGTTGTAATGCACAAAATTATGATTCCAGATTTTTTGATATGCTGATTTACTTTCTAACACTCTGTTTAGGAAATATGTTGCTCCCCAAAAGATGCTTCAGACATTTTGTATTTTAAAGAATACTTACTATATTATAAAAATAACTGCAGATTTAAAATCATCACACAAATATACATAAACTCACCAGGTATTATCAATATAAACAAAGAAGTGAACTTTTTTTAAGAGCAGTGTCCCCTTTACAGGAGAACAGTATTATGTAGAGGTAATTGAATATATACAATAGCTTCTTTGCAGAAAATGTATTCAATGGGATCTTACTACTGTATGAGTTACTCAATAATTCGTTACATGTGGTCTGAATATATCAGGGCTTGACTGTATAAGAGCTGCTCCTGTCAAATGCGGTCAAGCACCGACATGAAATCAGAAGCGTTTCACTGAGTAGTCTCAGCTCAGAACTGAAGTCTTGTGTGAGACAAATAGCTTTTTGAAAGTAAAATAACTCATTTGAAATGTGTATTTGTGACATAGTTTGTAACTCATTTGTGAAATCTGTATTTGAGACATGGTGGTGGCAAAATTGTTGTTCATTTACTTTTTCATGATCAGTTGTGATATGGGAGTGGCAAAATTGTTGTTCGTGTACTTTGTTATGATCAGTTGTTAGTTGTATTCGGAAATTTGTTATGCTTGATGCATTGTCAGCACATTGTCAGAGATGTGCGTTGCAGTTTCTAATCTTCGCTGTGGGGCATCTGTGTCGTGGTTAATGTGCAACATTAATAATAATAATCATCATCATCAATTGCATAGCTTGGCTGTGTTGCAGGGATTCTCGCCCATGGAAATCTATCGTAAGGAGTCGAAATAAGTTCTTTGTATAAAGACTCATTTATGTCTTTGAGCAAAACTGCAGTTTTTTGTTGCTGTTGTGCACACAAGGTTGTGGTAGTCCGCTGAATTCTTCTTCTTTTGCGATTCCTTCAAAAATGTCATGTCGCCTTAAAGGGGCCACTCGCCAGGCCACATAACAAATTGTAGTTGGAACCATGGAAGTTGTGTGTTCAATGAGGAGCATTTGCCACAAAAACTTTTCAGTCAGTTCGTTACGAGCTGAGAAAACTGCTTTTTCGAAGCGCCGTGAAACGAGGATTAGAGGAGGTGAGCTCGAAACCCTTGCCGCTCTTCCGCGTAGCTTTCGCAAGCCAAATCTCTTCCTACCCTCTTCGGCATCCGGCCAAGAGGTCACGTCTGCATGGCATGCAAGTTTTCGTGCTCGAATTAACTTTTCGAAATGCTCGAGCAGGCACAACCCCTAAGCATGCGAGCGGCGTATTTTTTATTTATTTTTTTTTGGCCAGCATTATTTTGTGGTCTAACTGCCTGTTTCGGATGGTTTGGAAACGCTGGCTGAGACATTTTATGTGAGCACAATGAATGCGCGAACACTTAGGAGCATTACTTTCACTTCCACGGCTGTCGTCTGCTCGATGCGCTGACCGAGGGGACAAGAACGCATGCAAAATGCCTGCACATTAGCCCCCGCATCTCGTCGCAATTCACAGGAAGAAATGGAAAAAAAAGACGCGCGCATTCCTTTATTGGCATCTCATTATTTATCTAGAGTTTTATTGATCTCTTCAAGCAACAAATAACAAAAACTACGCGTGCTGTGTTGAATAATTTTCGCTATGTCGTGTGCCGCTGTTGGCAACATCAGAGCACAGTCGTCTACGTAGAAGACCAACATCACTGCACTGCCGTGTACGTAGGACCATTCATACGTGCACACTATGCCCTCATTCTCTCCGGGTGCGCGCCTGTCAAAGAAAGGAGGGAGCAGCATTCATTTTGAAATTGGACCCCTTCCCGCGTCGCGTAGCATTGCAAATTCCGGCAGACGTGATCATGAACGCCCCATTTACGCATTGCGTTTGTCAGCTGAAAATTGTCAAACCTGGCGAGTGGCCCTTTAAAAAACACTAAAGGTGAATATTAACTCGCGTTGATTATTGAAATAGAGCTCCAGAACTTCGTATAGCCTGTTTTTGTGCCAAGGAAGTGCCTATTTTGAAATAAAATCGCGTTTTAATGAACCACATCCTGTCAGTGCACTTCGAATCACCCACGTGAAAAGCCAGTCTTTTAGACCTCACTGTTCCCGTGCCCAAAATTGCCCGTCCTTACTACCGGGCCTGCGGACACCAGTGGCAGCAGAGCAAGAGTAGCGGGAGCCACAGTAGAAAACGCGGGCCATTGAACAGTTTCCGCGCACTCTCGGAGGCCGTGGTTTTGCTTTCTTGGTTTAACTTGGCCCCACTAGATCGTACACCTATCCAGCCTAAACCAGCCAAAAGCTGAACTTTTGAATCACTCGCGCATTCCTCATGTAATGCCAAGCCAGTTCTTTTTGCTATAAATCAAATGGAAATGGACACGTAGCATTTTATTACGTCTCCTGATTCACGGAAAGTTTTTTATTACGGCTAGTTTGATTGCCAAAGTGGTTTATTGTAGTCGGGCACCCTCGTGTCATCAGATCATTTTGCATATGTCCCACTCGTGGCGCACATAGGGTAACACATTAGGCTTTATCGTTTGGGTAAGTAAGGCACTGCTTTTGATAATATTGCTGTTTTAAATGTTGTCATAAAGTGAGATTTCACTCTGACAATCATTTGCCTCTAGTGTCCCTTTAACGATGACTGTTTGTCAGAACCTTTTGTGAACCATTCTTTATTTTATTTTTATTTTATTTTTTTCAAAACTGCAGCTTCTTTTCATGTGAAAGTTGTGGTAGTCCCGCATTTTTACCTGAGCCTTGAAAAAACTCTGTGTCACCTTGTGTCACCCTAACAATGACCGTTTGCAACCGTTACAATCATTGCAACCGTTCAATGCGATCGTTGACCTGGCACAGCATGTTGTTTGTTTGTTAGCATTGTTCTTCTTTCAACCCCCTCACTCACTCATTCTCAGTACAATTTCCTCCTGATTTTTGCGGCTTTGTTCTCAGGTTCGGTTTGGCATGACGCCCGCTCAGTTGAGATCGCAGCCAGTGACGCTGCTTCTGATCCGGACGTGGACGTCGCAAAGGTGGACGAGGCTCTGGAAGCCGTAGCCACTGTCGAAGCCGTAGTGAAAGAATCTGAGGAAAGCCTCCCAAGAGTCGTCAGCGAAGCTGCTAGTGAGCAGAACAGCAAAGGACAAGGTATTCGCCTTTGTTTTTTTTTTCTTCCTTTTTTTGTAAATCTGGTTAACCGTACTGTAATCCAAAATTGGTAGGTTTAGCCTTAATAACAGGCAGAAACTCTGGTTTGCAGAGGTAGCTTTATGGCAGTCTGTACAGCTGTGCAAGGAAGCTAGCTTCACAGCAATAGGTGGGAGTAATTTATGGAAAAATTTTTCACCAATCGCTTAGAACGTGTGTTACACGTAAACCAATGCAGTAGTTTGCGAGCGACCTCATCAACTCTAATAATCATTTTAATGCAAAGCTTTCTGTGGGCGGGAACTGGGGTTTCAAAAACAGTTGAATGGGCTGACATAAAAAAAAAAGGTTGAGTTTTCTGGGTTAAAATGCAATTCAAATGTATTGAACTTTTTTGTGATTGCCTCAAAACCAAAGTCATTTTAATTTTCTCATTCGTGTGTGTGCTCGCCCATCATTTCCCATTTCCCGTCGTAGTTATTTTGGTTGTGGCTTCAATGATCTGAACGTCAGTAAATATCTTTTACTTGGGTCAATGTCCTTCAGTCTTTTCGTTTGTAATCTGAGCCCCCTGAAGGCAGTAAAAGGTGTAGTGTACAGCGTATCCCGAAGGAGTACAGCCACTAGCGTGGGTTCGGACTTAGCGAGCCGCAGGGCCGCGCTCACCGTCGCTTTGCGCCACTAATGCCGCTGCACACGCGTTTTCAAACAGCCGCAACACCAAGAACGCAGTACAGCGCCCGTTTCAAAAAAGCAGTGGGAAAGTAAACGAGGCTTATCCGCGCCACGGGCAAAAAGTACAACACAGAAGGCGCCGTGAGCACGTCTCCGTGGGCAAACGAGATTCACAATGAAGCGCCGCTGAGGGAAATGGGCCCTCGTGATCGTGCTGCGTGCTCTTACGATCTGTGAACGCAGGGCCCGATCGCTTTGGCGAGAGCAAACTCCACTTGCGTTGGCTTCGAGAGGTACGTGCCGGTGTAGTACGACCACGCGCAAGTACACCTTACCGCTCTTTGACCTAACGTTCGGAAGGGGCAACGAAAGGTAAATGCCCGCCACAGGTTTTGTTGACGAGTCCATGTGAGCTCCAAAAAAAAGAGCCGACGGACAAAAAAGAAAATGCGTGCTCTCCATTCGTTATCCCAGAGAGGTCTCTGACTGGCTCTCAACCCGCGCGCGAAGCATCCTGATAGACTCGAGCGCAGCACCACGGTCGACATCCGGGTGAGAGGGGTCAACGTCACTCCCGCTTCCCCAGCACTGACGGACCGGGGAGGAGGGGAGAGCCATGTTAGGACATAAAAATGGCGACAAAGCCTGCGCGATTGCGGCAGGCTAGCCTCGATTCCCACAAAAGGCATGCATCGAGAGTGATTTCACAATCCTTGGGAGGCTGCGAAATTGGCATTCAGTGTGCTAGGTTCGGGTGCATCCGGGGATAGGGAAAGCGACAAGCGATTTGGTGAATGGGTTTGTTTTGCAGAGGTATTTTGCAAAACCTATTAACCTAACCGTTCGTTCACACTGTGCCGCCTTGTTCAGGAGTGTTCTCAATGATGGAATCGTGCCCGACTGTCACAAGTACAAGCTCTCAATACTGCAGCCAAACGACCCCAAGCTTTCTTCAAAGTTGTCAAAAAAAGAGGTGAGCATGCCTCCAGGTTTTGCTTCCATCGATTTGTGTGTTATCGCCAGATAAGAAAATGTTAGTCATTGGTGAAACAGGGCATGCCGCTTTGAGGTACGGTAAAATACTATGCTTGGTCATCTTAGTTTGAGCACTTATTCTTGAGGACTCCATTGTAGCTAGTTATTGTTTCTTCGAGGTGTTTTTATCTTATTCATTTTGGTTTAGCTATTACTCCAACTTTTAGAGAGTATCCCAATCTGCCGGGGCAACCTCATTCCACTGAGTATCGCGTTGACCTCGAGTGAATCCAGTTGACGGAATTAGTGGAAGGAATGTGGACTAACAAGTATGTGCAGCGCCACAAAGCCTTTATAAAAGTGAACTGAAATGTCCTTAGAAATGCAACAAGAGGCTACTGTGACATGCTTTCCATTTTTAACTGGCAATCACGCTGAAGTTGAAACCCCGACTTTTTCACAGATCAAGCTTCTCACATCATCCCTACCTGATGGCATTCACGTAAAGGCCTTTGAGGACCGCATGGTGAGTTGTATGCCTTTCTTTGGAGCGCGGAGCTCTCTAAGCATTTCGTTGGGCTGGGTAATGCGAACGGACTCTATATCGTCAGCATGAATCGACACGCGCCCTCTAACAGAAGCTTTGCACTGCTAAGCGCACTAATGACAGTCTGATTCCCAGTGCGGAGAAAGAAAACGGTTTGAAAGGAGCACGGCACAATGCAACGAGAAGAGGGACTGAAGTGGTGTACACCAGGCGCGAGCATGCCGGTCTTCAGTTTCCCGTATTTTTTTATAGAGCAATGGCTGCTTAATTTGTTTTTTGTACAGCGGGACGCATTAGACTGCCACTTGAAATTGCAGGACCTGTACTCGGTGCTGATCAAAGGTCCCCGGCGGACACCCTACGAGGACGGCCTGTTCCTCTTTGACTTTCAACTGCCGGCCGAGTACCCACAGTCGCCGCCGCAGTGCCACTACGTGTCGTACTGCAGCGACCGGCTCAACCCGAATCTCTACGACGGGAGGCAAAGTCTGCGTCAGCCTCCTGGGAACATGGAGCGGCAAGGCAAGTGGGGTCCTTTGCTTGTCACCCACTCATGTCAACTTAGAGTTTTTTTGTCATGGATTCAAATTATGATGGATGTCCAAGTAAACGTCTCATTTATACGGTTTGTTTTTAGTGCCCGGCATACCATTTGCAAAAGCATGAAGCAAAGACAATAAAGTAGTAACATCGGGAGGTCTTCAAGAAAAGAAGTTGAACGTTAAAAATGTGTTCATCTGTAAATTTGCGCGTGTCCTAACAATTTGAGTACTTATGACATTCATTCTGACCTGCCATGTTTTCATACAGAACAAGTGGTTATTAGAAAAAAATGTTTGACAGCAGCTCCTACAATACACTTCAATGGATGCCCGATAGTTTTCACCTTAAGTCCGTCGCAGCATTGAGATTTTTCCTCCTTTCTTTCGCTCCATGACTGCTTTTTTTTCTGTTTGAATTTTGTTGGTAATAATTGGCAGCTCTGAACCGTTGAAGTGCAAACCGTTGCCCTCGAATCGATTAATCTTGGCCTCTGTGTTCTTGGTCGGGCTCCTTGCAGGGCTCGGAAATGTGGTCGGCAGAAACTCAAGCCTCCTGCAGGTGCCTCGTTTCCATACAGGGTGAGTGTGCGGTAGATTGGGGCTCTCACCGGACTTTGCAACTTTGTCGGAGACAATGGTGCTTTGTGCAGATTGAGCGAAGGTGGTGTTGCCTAACATACCACGCTGCATTTTGAGCCTGAAGACGTTAATTGCAACAGCAGCGCCTCATTTCATTGGTTAGAATTCAACATGTGTGGCAGTAATCTCGTCAGGTGGAAACTGAGGGGACAAGGATAAATTAGGTTCTATAAAAAAGGAGTTCCGTGTGCTGGAAAATTCAGAATTTAAATACGAAATCTAATCGTACTGGATGTAGTTTTAGTGGCAATTCCATATAAGCAACTTTTTTTTAGATTCTACCGCGGTTATTTCTCGGAAGTAGTTGCCAAGCATGACAGGGTTGCTGTCTTGCTTTGTTTCTGTAAATACACCAGTTTTTTTTTATTACACTCAGACCTTATAACAAAGTTGCATTTACACGAAAATAAGTAGTTCTTTACGTCTGTGAAATTCAATATGGAGGTTTACTCCTAACACTATATCTATTGCAAGACTATTCTTAATTTACTTCACTATAACCGATATTGGTTATATCTGGTTTTGATATATCGAGGTTTGAGTGTAATTAATAATGAATATATTCATGAACACTGATTAGACTAACATTTACCCTTTACTGTAAGATGTGGTCATTGAAAATTTCATATTTACTCTAAGAATCTTGCAGCTTTACCAGTTGGAGACTGTAAAATCTGAAGCACGTGAACTTTGTTTTTTCCTTTCACAGTCTGTCGCTCGTCAATGTCTTATTTTCTCTTTAGCATTATGAGAGCTTAGTAAAATAATGGCAAAACGGCAAATTGTAGACTTGTTAAATATAACCGTCACGACTGGGAAAGTATGTTCCAGGCACGTCCACTGGCTGTGAGATAAACAAAAGTGAGGAATTAGAAGCAAAAACCATTGTATTAGGGGCAGTTGTTCCGTGTTAAGAATTTTCCTGTACACTGAGATTCGTCTGTAAATTCAACAGTGTATTACTTCGTTTTTTACTAATTGCTCAAGTCTTGATCAATTAGTACCGTATTTACTCACGTGATGAACCCACCATTTTTTTTTTTTTTCCAGGAAATTTGACGCCGATTCGGGAGAAGGGGTTATTACGCGGAAGAAAAAAAGAAGTCATGAGAGCTATAACAGCGAAAAAGTTCGCTTGATGGCTTTGCTTGTTTTCGGCCCGAGAAAGTGCACAACAAATCTTTTGTTAGCCAAAAGCTCTTTTGTTTCCTCCCGTATCGAAAGCGTATGAATCGACGCCGAAGTGTCGTCCAGCCACTCGGTTCCCATGCTACAAACGCATGCTGTTCGTAACCTGCCGTCTAGCTAGCGTGCCGGCCAAACGTGCCCTGCGCAGCAGGTGTCGCCCAAAAGTTCGCAATGACAAACCCGAGAAAAAAAACGCAGCGTCGGATGGCGGCACACAAATGTTATGGTAGACGTTACGGGTGCACCACGCGCGGTCGTCGGCGGCTTGCGCTTTGCAAGGGCCTCTGAGATGGTGTGCGCGCGGCATGTTTCTAAGCCGCACGCCCGTCATTTGGAGGCCACCCGCTTTGTTTTTGTGCCGCTGCGCTTGGGTGGCACTATCAGCAAAGAGGTTTTCTCTTCCATTCAACAGATGGAGCTTTGCCGCAAAAGGCGTGACTTTCAAATTTTGATTAACGTCGTCTACGCCCGCACTGCTCACAACTGTTTAGCATGGTTGCAAAACTATGTTTTGACTGTTATTGTGTTGTTATTTTGTGATATGATTTAACGTCGTTTCGATGGTAAATGTCACTGGCTATTATACCGAAATAAAATGAGCAGATACATTTTAAAATGTTTTTTTTTTCTAAAGGCCAAGGTGGGGGATGGGTTCATTATGCGAGGGGTTTCAATACGCGAGTAAATATGGCATATTGAACTGGTGTACATGCTTGCAGGTCTCATCCTAGTCTCGGAGCCATACTACAACGAGGCCGGCTACGAGCAGCAGAGGGGCTGCCAGCATGCTTCCGAGAACAGCCGCATGTACAACGAGATGGTTGTGCTCAAGCTGGTGCAGTCCATGGGGCGCATGATCCTGAACCCTCCCGAGGTCTTCAGGGAGGAGATCGAACAGCACTTTAGGGACAATGCAGATAGGTGCGCGTCACTGCCTGCATTCAGTCTGTAAACAACCTCTCCCGTTGTCATTGTTCTGCTAAATGTTGTGCCCTGTGCTGTTATGTTTCCAGGTTTGTCAATCGGCTGGAGGGCTGGCTCAGGCTGTCTGACGCCTGGCACACGAGCTGCCCGGGATCCCAGGCCACTCCCGAAACACTGAAGGCCTTTGCCAAGCAAGGTTGGTACTGCGCTGAACTTTCGCCAGGGCAAGTAGTCGTTACTGTGTTGGAGGACTCACTTGGAGGCTATGTTTGACTTATTTACAAGCAGATCTGCTGTAGTGTAGTGCGTCTCTTCAGCCATGACCAGCCTCTTCTTTCTCTGTGGCATACATAGGTCGGCAAACACACTCGTGAGTTGGCTTTTCAGGCTCAGATCAAAGCACGAGTCTGAGTATCAGCGAGTCCGACTAATATTCCAGCGAGTTTGAGTACGAGTGAGTCCAGTTGATAATTTTGGCGAGTCTGAGTCCGAGCGAGTCCGATCGAGGAAAAGTTTTGGTGAGTCTGAATCTTAGTGAGCCCTTCATGTGAAATACATTTCTCGAGTCTGAGACAACTCCGCATTTTTTGCTATGCCACATTGGCCTTAGCTGTAGTAGTAAAGAAGTTGCGGTGCGCGGCTACTGATCCTGGCCGCGGCAGTCACCTTTCGATGGAGGGGAAATGTTTAGGGCTTGTTCACTGCTTGGACCCTTTGACTGTGTTCACCATACACGTACGGCGGCTGTTTTTGTCCCGCAGCGTCCTTGCTGTATGGGTATGTTTTCGAACCTCCACTTGAAGTTTGGTGCCTAGTGATGATGCGTGTTCACTGGGAGGTTGTTGCCACCTCCTAGGATTTACATAGCATTGGAAACGCTTGTGCTACCTTCTTGTAGAGATGATTAGAAGAGATTTCTAGCGCAAGCGCATCGCACGGTCAGCAGTGGCGCCCCCTCGTGGTTTTGCTATTGCTGCGGATTGCAACGGAGGCACTCTAAAGTTGATGTGTATTTTTATGTTTGAAATAATGATCATGGTGATGGTGGTTCTGACTGTATATGTGGTGTTTAATGGCACAAGGGTTGATTGCAGCCAGGGCATATTGTAATCTGAAAGCAGTGTTGTGATTGGTGGCAATGGGTAAGTGTAAAGTGAGTTATACTATGTGGGCCCAAGTATGTGTACACTGAATATGCATGATGTAGACATATATTATGAAATGAATAATTGACAATAACCTGTCCATTGCGCAGAGTACAAGGAAACGCATAACCATTTCTTGAAAAAGAAAGCTTCCAACTAGAAAAATTTGTTCGGGAACTAAACGCTTCAAACCAACGCCTCTCTAGGCCGGTTGCTTTACTATTTGAGCTAACCAGGCTTCTAGAAATTGGCAGTGAGAAAACAAATTAGTCAAGAACTTGAAGCGCACAGATTGCGCCGCCGCTGTTGTCTAGTGGCTAAGGTGCTCGGCTGCTGACCCACAGGTCGCGGTATCAAATCCAGGCTGCGTCGGCTGCATTTCCGATAGAGGCGGAAATGTTGTAGGGCCGTGTGCTCAGATTTGGGTGCACGTTAAAGAATGCCAGGTGGTCGAAATTTCCAAAGCCCTCCACTACGGCGTCTCTATAATCAGGCTATGAAAGGGATGATTGAAATTGTAAATATATATTTACTGCTTACAACAATGACATGAAGGACACTGCATGCAGCTGTGGTTGAACGCAACTTGCTGTAATCACTCAAATGTAACGAAATTTTTTAAATTTTTTACATTTTCACCAACTGAAGTCGACCCACACGTCACTAACACGGAAGTTGTATGTTTTCTTCCTGGACATAATGAAAAGTCGCTCGTCGCGTCATGATCGTGGTCGCTTTACAATTGAGCATGCTGACACCAGGATATTTTTTATGAGGGCGGGCGGGGGGCACTAGCGACAATAGAGTTCCGTCAGAAGTGGAGAAGTTATGCGTTGTCTTTAAACTAGGTTTTCTTTTGGAGGTGCGGGGGGGGGGGGGGGGGCAGGCAAAAATTTTAAAATAAGGCTCCAGCCTCTTCCCCTTCGGCACCGTGCCTGCAATCGAGTAAATATGGTAAAATGGCAGGGAAACCTGTGCCCAGGTGACCGAAGTGCGGCAGTCGATAGCCTCCAGGACTAAAGCAACGACCCCACCTACATTTTTGGCCATGTTTTTCGTGTGATTATAAGCAGCTCTGTCTGACTCATTTCAGTCTACTCTTGAGCACGTGCTCATTGGTGTATGTCTGCGTGTGCCCACATTTGATGTGCGAATGACGTTGCCTTTTAAAGTCATGCCCTACTATTCGTCCGTGAAAAATATTCTCCCTTTCAGGTGACTATGGCGTAGCTGGCAGCAGTGCATTCCCAGATTTCCCGCTGCTACCGGCTTCCCGAGGCTTTTGCCTGACCCTGCGCAAGGCTCTGACCGGCTTCAAGGAGATCCTCAGGTCCCAGGGTCTAGGCTGTCTAGCCGAGATCAGCCAGGGCCAGAGCCACTAGCCAAAACTAGCCCTTCTTCGCCTCTTTTTAATATTTTTTTCTTTGAGGGGCTAGCTTGTGTAAATTGTGTAAGTATCAAGTTTAGGGCATAAGTTCTTGTCCACTATAACCTAGAAAAAAACATACATTGCATTGTTAGCCTTTGTCACTAGCCACAGTTTCCATGGGTGTTTCATCCTATCATGCATGCCCATATCTTTGTTGTCAAGCACTCTGAATTAAGTTCTGGCATATATATGTATATATAACACATACAAAATATGTTTAAGAAAGTGTCCAAAAATCCTCAAAAGTAAGGTATGTACAGGTATAACTTATGCTGGAGTTGCATCTTTTTTTGCCGCGCATTCAGAAACCGTCCTTGCAGACATGCAGTGAGCGTGTGTTAACTTGTGTTTCTTTTCTTCTCGTCTTTTTCAGAAATTTGAGCATTGTTGGAAATTGTTCTTCCACAAGGCAGTGAGAGAAAGCAACTGCTGAACAACGTTATGAACATGACGCCGCCGCCGCCACCCACGCTACGGATGGGACTCTTTTCTTCTCTTTTTTAAAGGTCTTCCTAGCACCTCTTCAAATTTTATTTTTTTATTTATTTATTTTTTCTAGAAAGGACTAGCTCTCTCCCTCTCTCATTCTATCTACAAGTATGCTAGCTGCGACGCGCATTCTCGCGCGTGCTTCGGCGACGCTGCTTTCCTCCGTGCACCGCCGCCTTTTAACACGCTTTTCCACTCGCCCATTGTGTAGGGGGCGCCTCGCCGCACTTTTTCTAGCACGGCTGGACCCTTTCTCTTGCTCGCTCGATTGTCCGCAGTAGACAAGCTTTCTAGAACAACACAGCTGCCACCCCCAGTTCCTGTTCGGATGGTTAGAGTGATGTGCTACATGCTACATGGCTACAAGTGGTAACCTCCCATCGTTTTGTCAACTCGGTCGGTCGCTCGCATGTTGGAGGTGCAGCTAGTCTTAGTAGGTCGTGTTAAGCTCTGAAGAATGGTTAGTCCGAGGGGCACTCGCACCTATGCCTGCCTTGCCTCTTCGAACTTTTTTTTTTGTCCCCATTAAACCCGAGTAGTCACATGCACGGAAGGTGCAGTTTCTGGTGAACTTTTTTTACGATGTCCGACTTGGTGGGATATTGTTCGTGTAGTCGCAACCCAGGAAAGTCTTTCTTTTCTTTTTCTCGGAGGTGTGCAAAGGTTAGGCGTGCAAGTGTCTCGGGGAAAACGTAAACTGAATTGTCAGCCGGTCGCATGACCACCAAGTTGTCCTAGATTTAAGGAGCGCCGCCGATATCGCGCAACGTTGTGCAGAAACACAGTGTTTTCGTCAAGAGTGCATCGACGGAGAAGACGTGCGTTATCGTTGTGTGGCGACATCCGCTGTCAAAGAACAAACAGCCGAGTGTGGAACTTTCGGGAAGCAAAGAACTTTTTTTTTTAATTGAGAGAGGAGGCATCCCAGTGGAACAGTGTTCGAAGGGAACAAACAAGTGCGGCGGCGACCACCTGTGCAATAGTGGCACTTGTCAGAGCTGCGGAAAAAAAGGCTTGTCCATTTCTGTTGGTTAAGTTAAAAAACTTAGAAATATTAAAATTCTTTGAATTGATAAATTAATGTGTGGACTTCATTTTTGGTTCTCCTATACTGGCCACATTGTGGCTGCTATCTTGACAGTAGAGAGGCTTGCCTGCACAAGTATACTTGAGTATGTGTCATTGTTAGGGATAGGCAAGTCGTATGTAGAAAGCTCAAAGCAAATAGTGCTTTCGTCAAATAATTTTTAACTGAATATTATACTTGTTGCATACTTTTTGTGAAACATCAAATTTGCACAATATTTTTAATTGGAACATATGTGAATAGCATTTTTAGTTTAAAAAAATAAAATTCTATTAATGACAAGGTTTTACTATTAATAAGGTGCAGGTTATAAGTAGTACAATACATAAAATTTTAGTGCTTTCGCATGCAAGCCTGTATGACACATTTTTAAACATAAAAAAAAAGTATCGAAGTGACTGTGTAATCAACGCATCTGTGATGTGTAGCTGTAACCTTGTGGGATGTCGTAATTCCTCGCAGTTCTTAGAACAAACGGTCGAACCAAATGAAAATATTTATTAAAGTACTTTTACATCGACGCCATCCAAATAAAATGCATCACTAGTGATCCATACGCTAAACACCACCTTACACATTCTCAGTAGGACACCCAATCAATATAATACACGGAAACGTTGAGGTGGCATTGCCAATGCTCGACTCGCGAGGGGCCCATGAAAGACTACCATTCTTGCCCGCCACCACACGACTAAGAGCCACTCGTGTCTTATGCCGCTACCCAGCCTTGCCGCCAGGTGTCACTTCTGGCGCTACTGCTGCGCCACCTACTGCTCAATGGTTGTTAACCATTAATGAGCTACCCAGCCTTGCCGCCAGGTGTCACTTCTGGCGCTACTGCTGCGCCACCTACCGCTCAATGATTGTTAACTTTTAATGCAGATTATTTGCGAGACGTGTGCACCACGAGGTGCAAACGACTTTACAGGGGTGATAGCAACCTCTACAGCCTTATAATGTGGCTTCAATGCAGTGCAGACTTTCTTTCTGTGTAGGTAGTTAATGGCTTAGCAGCCCCTTGGCTGCCATAAACCACCTTTTGAAGAGTGTTGTATGTAGTCAAATACGATTCTATTTGTTCATTTTGAATACTTAGAAGTGTCAAACCAAATATGAAAACTAATGTTCTATCTATCAAAGTACTAGAATATTCGTATGACATGTAGAGTCATGGACTAATGAGATGAGGAGTCCACGGTGTGGGAGTGCAAATGTGTTTGAAGCTAGCCTGGAATACGTTTTTTGCAAAATGCAATTTAGAGTCGCGTGAGCATGTTCAGCCATGTTTCTAGGTTTGCGTTCCCCACTTGTTCACTTCAGGGATCCCAGTCTCTTGCAGTGGAATAAAAGAAGCAACATGCCATTTGCTTAGCCATTACTCACAGTGAATAGAAAATTAGGCATGGCTGTGCTATTAGAAACACCAAGGACCAGCCAAGCTGAAGTTTAGCAAAAGGACTAAGGTAGAGCGGCTTTCGCCAGCTCCGCTGGTCTTTGGCATTTGCGGAAGCCGAGCCACACCAAATATTTTAGGAGCAAAGTTCCTTGGAGTAGCATCCTGTCATCACCGTCGAAGCTGCCTCGTGTTTCTAGGACCAGGTTAGTTTCTCAGCTCCCCATAGATGCTTGCTCTCTGAAGTGGACGCGACCGCCGATGGAAGAACTAGCGACACTGCGGTTCCATCTTGCACCTTGCCTCACGCATTTGCAAATCACACACAAGTACGGAGAAAGCGAGCACGGAAAAATGCGTCGCAAGCAGCTACTACTCGCGCGTCTCGGCTCGCTGTGGCATTTGCGTCACATCCGTGTTCACACGTCACACCCATGCGTCAGCTTGCGAGTGGAGCTGCGAAACTGCACTGGTTCTAAAAGTGTTGCCCCACGCTATCACATTCATGAAAGCCAGCGCCAAGATCTGGCGCGTAGTCATTTGCGTCCCATTTCTGAGAAGATTCACTCATTGGTTGTATTCATACATAGAACATTTCATCCCACTTCCACCGCTTTCTGTGATTACGATGCAATTTTTGCTAGTGTGCTCTTGGTTTTATTGTATCCTCAGCTGTCAAATGTTTACAACTCCGGACACTCAATGTTGGTGTTCTAAAGAGGCATTCTAGTTCCAATGTTTTCACAATTGTGCATGCAAATGCATAACGCATTCAGCGTGCACCTGTACGAATTTCGCATGCATGCATTCACCTGTGGAGTATGTTGTCAACACGACGTGGTCGTCCCTTTGTACGGCAGTGCGGGGTCTAAAGACATTCCGGGAAAAGTACTGCCTTGAGATGCTATAGTAAAATGCAACATTTTGCGAAAGTTTGGTTGCGTGTCTACTCTAACAAGACTTAAAACGGTTGAAATTTCTCTCCATGCCTGTTGCTAGATTTCACTTAATAGTTGTCTTTCTGAGAAGGAAAAACTGCTAAACCTCTAAACGAAACTCAAAGGAGCATTCAGGAAGTAGTGCCGTTTATTGATCATTCCTAAAGCTAAATATTTTCCTTTAGCCTACCTTATGCTCTATTTATATTTGTCGGAGACTGTACTTGAGAGTGGAACTCCAGGCGTCGTTGGCAAGGCAACTGAGCATGTTTTACGAATACACATTGCCTGGTGTTAGTGTTGGCAGCCCAACATTTTAGAATATCTTTTGCGGTGATGTAAAATAATATTTGTTCGGTAAGATTTATAATCGGCTCCACATGTAGCATACTTGAAGCAGAATACGCATTACGATGATGGAACAGAGCAATGGGTGTAGCGTGAAGAAGTGTATAAGTGGATTAGAGACGAGATGAGGGTGCTAGTTGAAATAGGAAAAGAAAAATGATGAAATGTGTAATCTATAAACACAGTATTGGCGTATGCACGCTTTTGTCCGACAAGCAATTCAAATTTTGTTTGCTCACCTGGAATGCAAAGTGATGTCCAACCGAGTGTGATAGTGCGCACACAGTCACTACTATTCTGCAGCTACAGCGTACACCATTGCAGTGATAAGTGCCAACAGATAAAACCACTGGCAATGCAATAACAGTATCTTGCTCATTAGTGTTAGGCGTTGCAGAATAATAGTTTACCGAAGTATGCAGGACTACTGCTTTTCTACTGCTGTCTGCTTCAACCTTTTCTCATCGTGTGCAGTAATAAATGGAAGGATGAATTGCTAATTGTCACATGTTCTGTTTGCTCACATCTACAACTGCTGTTCATCTCCCCGAGCAATTAGTTTTTGTGGTGCCTGTTTTTTTTAGTGCGACGAAAAGCTTACCAGTCAGAGTGTTATATGGCGGAGTAGTTATTCGGAAAATTCTGTGATGCAATATTTGTCAGTTTTCCTTCCTGCAACAACTACAAAGTTGTACAAGTAACGCGTGCTGCAAGCAGTAGTAGCTGAGCACAACAGCGCTTTGTGTTCGCGGAACACTGTTCTCTGCGCATGCCCCACGGCTCGATATGGCCCAATTTCATCTGCACTGCTTCTCAAAGTCGACTTCTAGAATACAGTGTGGATGCATAATAATATACCTACTCTAATTTTGAGCACTAATTATGACACACATAGATGCGTAAGACTACGTGCAGCAAACAGAATGACACCATAGCGCAGCGTCAATTAAGGTTCTTTCGCCGCATGATATGCCTCTTTTTTCTGTTTTCTTTTATTTTGTCCTTTTAAATATGGTGGTTTTACCTGCGTTCAGTCAGCTGCCTAGTGGTGCTACCCTCATAGGGGAGACTGGGATGGGTGTGTCAAAATAAATTTTAAAAAACTTGGTTTTGCGATGCCAGTGATGTAACTGCTGCTCCAATTGCTCCAAAAGAGAAATGCTGCTCCAAACCTACGCCGAAATGGCACTGAGAGAATGAAAATGACAAACTTTGGCTGTTGAACCAGCTCATACCCAAGTCCTAAAGAAACTGAGAAGAATCTGTATACTATCACCCCAGTATGCTGCTAGTGTGCATCATTTTGGGCTCTGATCTTATTTGTGTGACAAAAACTGGCGTATTAGGCATATAGCTCATTTGGCAGTTTTGTTTTTGTTTTTTTTTTTCAGCTAGACTTGCAGGTTAGGGTGGCAAAATGTGAAAATGAGCAGGATTACTTTTATCTCGTACCGATTATCTACTGCTTATTTCGCAGGTTATGTGGAGATATGGTTACTTTTAAAATGTGGGGCTCAGCTGTACTGGTTTGATTTGATTTCTATTAGAAATACTAGAATTTTGATTATACAGCTCATTTCACAGTACATTTTTGACTACCAGCCAATTTCTTCAATTATTTGCTTCTTGAAATTTACATTGATTTTTGTCTGCGAAGTATATTTTATAATGAATACTAATATTTATGAGATACATTGACGATGCTTTGAACTCCAATGGGTGTATGGCGAATTTCGTCTCTGCTCTTGAAACACCAATAGCTGTTCCAAACTAACATTATTTTTCGCTCTGAAAACACTTAGTGTCGGCTCCAAAACAGTACTTTTCCTGCTCAAAAGTGTGCTCCAAAAAGTAAAACGTCACTTCCATCACTGCGATGCGCACATATGCGGTCGTGTCTTGTGTGTGTCTGGCTCTAACGTGCCTATCATCCGAGCCAACTCAGAACACTGCATTTAACGCAATTTAAATATATAGATGCTACTGAGATTGTGAAAAGGATGCTTGAACTTGTCATCATAATTCAGTCCTTTAATTTCGACCAGGCTCTTATCACGCCTTCTGGTCTGTTGTCAGTCTCCGTCCGTTTAGGAGAGGGAGACACTTGGGATCCTGTTTGTACAGGCCCGAGTCTTCCAGAACCGAATGCGGCGCGCAGATCCAGGGGTCGTTCGTCGCCCGCTGCCACTTAAAGAGCAGCTGCTTCAGCTCGGAAATGACCGTTGCATAGGTCTCGTTGGCGGCGACGTTGTACAGCTCGTTCGGGTCGCTGTCCAAGTCGTACAGCTCCCACTCATCCCTGTAGTAGTAGCCGTCGAGCGTCTTGCTCCAGCGGAGCGGTTCTCCGTGCTTCGTTCGGTTCAGCAAGTCCTGGAATGTGGGAGAGACGTAGAAGTCCTGGTCTATTGGGAACGGCATCTTGTTGTTAAGGTTGTGGATGAGCTTCATGTTCGGGGTACGGACCATCCTTGAAGGGTAGTACATGGTGATCTCGTGGAGGTTGTGGCTTGCGTAGATGAAATCTCGCGACGTCGCCAATTTTTGCTGCGCCAGCAGTGGCAGCAGTGAAGAACCCGTGAACGTGACCGGCTTCTTGAAGATGGTGTACTGCGGAACGGGAATGGAGAACCACTCGAGCACGGTGGGCACGATGTCGAGAAGGCTGACCAGTGCGTCGGAACGCTGCGGAATGTCGAAGAACAGGAGTATCACACTGTGAGCGAAAGCACTTCATTGTTGTGATACAGATAGTTCGGTTTTGAGTAGGACTTAAAATCGTCATCATCATCAGCCTGACTACGCCCGCTGCAGCACAGAGGCCTCTCCCATGATCCGCCAATCAACCTAGTCTTGTGCTTTTTGCTGCCACGTTATACCTGCAAACTTTTTAGCCTTATCGGCCCTCCTAACTGTTCGTCTCCCTCTCGTGGGTTTGCCTTCTCCTGTTTTCCACTTGCAGTATTCGCAGAGATGCATGCACGCGCAGAGAAAGCAACAAGGAAGCAACCACTTCTGCATTGCAAGAGGCAGTGCATTTCACACATAGTGTGGAGGTTGTGGATTTGTGTCGCACCATCAGAAAGTTCCTTTTTCATTCATTTTCATTTCCCCTAATCATACAGGTACTCTAATTAAGTGCAAATAACTTTCTCAATCTTTACCTGATCTGTTTATATGGTTACGTTCATAAAAAATTAGACCATCAGTCGATTCCCTCCTCCTGATTCTTTGCCTAATTGCCATGACTTAATTAACTTTTGCTAGAAGCGTGAACATGTGTCACTTGTATGAGTGCGATAACTTCTAGCGTGTTACGTTTTGCTAGGTTGTGCGATGTGGCACTCAATCAATAAATTAAACCAAGTTCGTTTCACCAGAATATTCAAGACTGTCCTCGTGGCTAAAAAGTGTTCTAGCAGCGGCAGCGTACGACATTCACAGCGCAAATATGCGTATCAGATTACAATTATGACATACTATAGGAATACTGTCGCATGAGTTTCAGCACAAATCACACCAAGTAATAAACATAGCATACAGAGTCAATGACGCCACTAATTGCAGTTATGTATTTGCTCTCCCAAAAGCATCCTTACTTATAGGGGTCCTACAACACCTCTTTCAGTAACCACGAAAAATATTCACTAAAAGAGCTTATTGCCTCACGAATTCACCACCGCTAAAATTTTTAGGATCTGTTCAGTACGAGTGGAGTTAAAAAAGATTCATCAGATGCTGCAATTGCATTCTCTCTTTTCTTGTGCCGATGAAATCTCTGGAAGGTAAGCAGGGAGGGATGGCACGGGGAAAGAAAATACGTTGTGTGCTTAGTGACCTAGAGCACTTTTTTTTCCCCAATTCACGTGAGCAGTTTTTTTTGTGCGATTATGCACACACTCGTGGACAAGTATATTGCCTTATGCTCAAATCAGCCAATGGCTGATACTAGGCCTGCAACATGATAATTGTGAGCCTGCAGCGTCATTTGTTAAGAGCAGAGAAAGCGACTTTAAGCTGACTGACAAGTTGTTGTAAATTCCTGTCATTTGCTGCGCTATAATAGTTGGCATGCATGTTTCGGGAGCCTTCACTACTTATTGGCACCGTTTTCTGACCACTCTCAAAAAGTGTTGCAGTGCCCCTTTAAACTGGATAACAAAATTTCACCAGAGAAACCACAACGCTTCAGCTGCATTGACGTCAAGAGTGTGCTAAAGCAGAAAAGTCGTACCGTGCCGGCAGATCCCGGTTTTTCCGGGTCGCGAACTATCATGGGCTCCTGGACCCCTGGCTCGTAGAAGTTGGTCCGTCCGTTAGGAAACGGAATTCCATTGTCCGAAGAGTAGATAACGAGAGTGTTATCACTGAAGCCAGCAGCCTCCAACTCTGCCAACACGAGGCCCACCCCTGCGTAACACGAGATAACATTCTGGCATCATTGCTATCTGTGGAAACGCAGCAAGTTGCACCAGTGTAATAATGAGTAGCAGATGAGCCAAACTTCCATCACCATTATATCTTGTTAGTATGCTGCTTTAATTAATGCTCATATGCACTTGCGTGTGATATATTGCTTGCTATGGACAAAATTGGCAAAAGATTATGCACGAGCTTGTCAAGTGTTCAAGTATCGGAATGTCACGTATGCAACCTTTCTTTACTTCTGACTACTTCAGTAATCCTGCAAAAATTTTCAGAAAGTGAATTGAGCAAATACTGTGAACTTGTATGGAGGTTTAATAGGAATGTTGTCAAAGGTCAGGAAATTTCAAAGAATGGAATAAAGTTTTCAATTCTCCAATCGAAACGTGCTACAAATACTGAGAATCGCATCTAATAGGTGGTGGAAAGCTGACAAAATTGATATAAATCTTCTTAATGTTTTCTTCTAAATTTCATGCAAGCATTGACTATTTCATGCAAGCATTGAACAAATGCATCGTCATTTATAGATTTCTAGCAAAGATCTTTTTAAGAATTTTTGTACCTTTGTTTTTTATTTATTTTTTATATTTTTTACTGAGTAGTAAACCAGTAACATTCTTGCTTGTTCTTTTTTTGCGCGTGTGTTTTTAGTGACTGAAGTTCATGTCTTGTCAGCTGGGCAAACATCGCTTGCATCATAAGGTGCACTACTTCTTCCACTATAATTTGTGCATTTTACACGCATTTGAACAGAAAAATCAGCCTTCACTAGACGCAGACATATTCTATTAAATTTGTGTCGACTTACAATGACCGATAGATGCCGTCTACATTAATGACTTCGGTTAGCTAAAGCTAGAACAGAGCTGCTACTGTCCTAGCCTTGAGGAAGACAATACTAAAGGTGCATTCTTTTTGAGATTATATATGCATTACAAGAGAACATGGTGGCCGTCACATGTGCATCAGCATAGTGCTTTTCTTGGTGTCCTGTACTTTTATTTGTGAATAGCATTTGCATAAACAAAAACTTGTGCGAATGACTTTTCATAAATTGATACGTTTGCAAGCCTGTCAGGCTTTGCTGCATGAACACTAAAACATGACATCTGCTGCAACCATTTGTCATGAAGGAATGAGTTAACAAAACTTAATGATATTGTAGGCATCTATTATGCACTTCATCTATTTTGGCTGATCATCATCATTGTTTTGGGGCGTACGCTTCATCACTGAATCTGTGGCACTTGTTTGCTCCCGAGCGCACTTCCAAATAAACATCGCTGCAACCGAGTAGTCATGCGTGGTGGAGGTGCTGGGCACCAATCTCAGTTCATCTGATTATTCCCAGTCAATTGCACGTCAATTTCACTTTAGTAAATTGCATGTGTCACTTTCTTACAGCACTAATGCCTGCTCCTTCCGTGTAACCCAGCCCAAGAACTACAGATTTGCAATTTTATAACTTCCTCAATTTTTTTTATACAGTCATCGTGAAATGGGACTATATCGTCTCTTTAAACACTGTGGGAAAGATGTCTTCGCCTTGGTCCAACCGCCCAACAGTTGTATACTGAGCTGCGATGTCCTCTCGTGCTGCAGGGGTGTCGGGAACGAATGGGGGCACAACGACTTGACTAGGGTCGTAGGGCTGTGGTGTCCAGTCAGGTATCCGACCCATGCCCGGGGAGCCATCGCCAAACTTTTCGCAAAACGCGCCTGTACTGAAGGTGGGTGTGACCACACCGGTGGGGGTCGTGGAAAGCGACGTAGAGGAAAAACGGCCTGAAAAGATGCATTTCCGTGAATACTTCTCTGGTGCGTATAACGATGACGAAGCAATATGAGGCAGTGTGCCACCTATGAACTGCCACAATTTTTTTTAATTGACTGCACAAGTGTTCTACAATGGCAACTCCTTGTTTGTACCCACTCTGTTGAGAGGCTTTGACACTTGTGAAATCTGAAGACTTCGTTATAAAGTGAACCGGGTCTTCAGAACAATACGCCTGAAAAGATAGAGCAGCGTGTCTCAACGCTGCCATTCATTCCAGCAGAAAAAAAAACAAGATCCTCTTGCTATGCGCCGTGGCTGATTTTTTTTTCTTCTTCTAGTACTCGCTATGTTCACTGTTATTAAGGACACTGTTATCCAACACTCAATGGCAGCAAAACTAAATACTATGTGACAGATTTTTCGTATATCTGAAAGAGCAAACTCATTGTCTAGTAATGTCACGGATCACTGCCCCATGCACATGTTTCCATATTCTATCTCATATCAACAAGTATTAACTAGCCCAATTATGCATGCTATCGTTCATGCTTCCATTGTTTTATTTAATTACAGTTACTTTATTATGACTTCATAACGGAAACTTCTACAATACTGTCACAGGCAATCAGTATCCCGAATTTAGCAGATTCATTACTCATTGTAACGCGATGATGCTACGGAAGAAGTTTGTACATAAAAATGTGTGCTGATCTTGGAATAAGGATCAGTTCCTAATTGCTCATTGCGCTGTTGTCGACATCTTTACCACATCAGTGCTGTCAAGTACTTTCATTATTTGCCATCTCCTTCTGCAATGAAGTCTAGGCAGGTGCATGAATAACAATACAGTAAAAGTTTGCAAGGAAACTACATATGTCTCACTTGTGCAAATCTCACTCCTGTCTGCGATCCTGTGAGTGTACGTCATATCTGCTATTATAGAAGCACAAACTGAGTTTTGAAAATTTCATGTGAATTTCAAAACTGAATAGCTAAGGCTATTTGTTGTCTATTGAATATTTTGAATATTTATCCGATGGATTACATGCTCTCTTTTCTCTTCATTTTACCTGGAGTCATTGGTGGAAAGGAACTTTCGCACAAGATGTTTAATTTTCGTGATGTTCCGTCCGACTTGTAGAATAGAGTTGTTTTCTTCGGTGTGTGCAAAGTCGAAAGGGTACACCTCTTCGGGGCCTACGTGTTTTTTTCCAATAATGCCTGTAATGATAGAAGTGAGAAAGGAAAGGGTATATGCTGTCGGCGACATCACTGACATGCAAAACATTGGTGGCCTCAATGTTACCCTGTCACTTTTATACAAGACTGTGTAATATACAGCCTTCAAAAATAGCACATTTGTAACTTGAAGGGGAAGGTGTGGTGTGCTCACTGAAGAGAGGTATTGGCAGAAGGAAGTTTGTATTTTTTTTACTAGCTGGGCAAGTAGTAGGGGTTACTTGGTATGTATTGATGGGCTAGTTGGTGAGCTATGACATTTAATGAAGCGGTGAAAAAAAATGACACAATCATGCACACATAAAGAGACATTTATGTGTTATGTTTAATTACGATAAATTGTGATCTGTTGAGTAAACATGAATTCAACTGGAGCATCAGTACTTAATCAACCAAAGCATCAGTACTTAAAAATACTTATTTCAACAAAATGAATAAGCTCGTATTGGGGGCTAGTAGGTGAGAAATTATTTTGAGAACTTAAATTAAGCTAGACTGGAGACACCAGAGTATAGGTCAGAACCAACTCATAGTACTGTAGCGTGTGATTTAATGAAACCACAGAAAATTGCCTCCAGGAACAATGAGTTTGCACAGTAACATTCACGGCCATGTGACAACAGTACATTCACCCACCGAGGTCCCTATATATTCTTGAAGAGATACAATGACTGGTTCACTGATGCACCTATCTTATTTAAGTCTCGCTATCCATGAAGCTTCCAAGATTTCACGTGCCCTTTGGTCTGATTCCCTTTACACATTTGTCTCACCGAAAACCGGCTTGCACTTCTTGGCTAATGTCCTACGGCGAACTGGCAGGTGCTTCTCTCTGTCGTGTTCTAGTGAACAGAATGCTTGATTAAACAGTTATTAAAAAAGCATTTAATGCATTTGCTGGCAAGGAGACATCCAGTAGAAAGTACTTGAGTGTGTGTCCTACTCCCAGTGCATTTAAATTCTCAGAATTATTTTAATGAGTGTTTTTGAGGTTTCGCCAAGTTTGGTGCAAGCGCATTCAACCACACTCACCGGTCCGAATGCCGCGTTCTGACAAAAGCAAGGGCAGAGACTTGACCTCTTGGAAGGACTGGAAGGCGTGCACGCCTTGGTGAAGGCCATACATTCCATTCTGGTGCGTCGGAAGACCGGTGAGCAGGCATGACCTGCTGGGCGAGCAACTGCTCACAGCAGTGAAAGCCTTTTGGAACACGACACCCTGTTCAGCAAGCTTGACGAGATTTGGTGTCTTGCAGACGGTGTTGTTGTAGACACCCGTTTCGAATCCTCCATCGTCAGCTAAAAGACATGCATACGAGTCGGATGGAGCTCGTGTGTCACAGTATCACTGGTGTGCTTTAGCACACCTTGCTTCGGTCTCCAAGGTACACCAAAGATATACAACAGAATCAGTCGCGTTGGGCTGGTATTGTGTATATTGTATATTGTGGTATATTGTATATTGTGGTATTGTGTGTATTGTGGTATTGTGTAGTGTATATAGCATTTCTTGAACATTTTGAAATCGGGCTTCATCTTGTGATTTTGGGAGCAAAACAAAATCTATTTTTGAATTTAGCGCGAAAACATCAAGGTTATGACGTCATGCGAAGCGAATAATTTCAAAGAATTTGAGTGAAACTCTCCATTTTAACTTTTCGCTCCAATTAACGGTATACAGCTCATTTTTACTGATACGTGTAACTGCGACCTGCAAAACGTCGTCAATGCCTCCTTGATTCCGCGTAAGAAATGGGCGCAGCTTTCGTACGCGAAATCACGGAGGCCACGATGATGGGTGAGTTAGTAGTGCGAAAAATGCACGGCGGTGTCGCTATCTGCTGCGTCTGCGCCATCGAACTTGCAAGCAAACAAAAACCCATGATCTATATGCGCGCAAAGGCACATGATTAGAGTGTACTAGAAGTGTACACTGTAACATAATTATGCGTACGCAGCCGAGTGCGAATCCAGGTTTACATAGACCATGATGCCGACAATTCTCCAAGCTTCGTTTTTAGTTTTTTTTTCGCTCGTTTCTTCGTGCCGGCGATCGTTAAGTGGGCGCGCGACGAATTAATAAAAGAAAAGAAGACGCTATTGACCATTCTTTCAGCATGGAAGTGATCAAAATTTACACGCTCAATTCATTAATTTTTTTTCCTACACGAGCTGGAAGATCTATCTATACCTGAGTTGATTTCTCCCAACACAGAGGCAATTAAAGCCAGATTTGATAAGCACTCGTGCAATATGAATGGTGATATATTAAAGAGTAATCGATTCTGCCAATTAGATCAACATGCTTATAATAAAATAAAGGCATGTTCGCCAAATAGCCTGGGTTTCTAGCGCACCACAAATCTTGCAATCTTCGATCAATAGCAATCAAAGCGTTTCAGCTGTGGGCGTAATCTTACAGTCGGCATTCAATCAAAAATCATTAATTGCAACTGCGTGTTCTGTACTTACCAAAATAACTAGTACGTTTCTCTGTTCGCTGGCCTGTATCATCAAGAGAACAATTAACAACGAATAAGTTCTAACAAATATACAGCTCATTTCGCTTAACTTTCTTCTACTGAAAGCGCTTCAGCGTCAATAGAACGTCGCACTTATCAGGAATTGCCAAACAAACTGATAAAACTTGCAGCCCCGTGTCAGTTTCGGTTCTTGTTTCGATGTCGAATAAGGCGAGAAAGAAAACAATAAACGCCAAAAAGAATGACTGTGCTTAGATATTCACGTGGGCATAAAGATAAAAGCGACAAACAGAGATAAGGCTTATCTAAAATGAAAGCGTTTTAAAGCGCCACCTACAAGGACTCTAACAATGGAAACATAGACAAAGCAATGTGCGGACCCTGGTAACCGAGTGGCGTGTGTGAGTGTTGCAAGTGTGACTGTGATCGTGTGTGTTGCTTTTTCATCCCGCGAAATCACGTGTATATTTTGTCCGCTCCTAATCGGAACGTGTGACTGGCTACGCGAGAATGTGCAAGCTAAGGACCGATCGTAAGTGCCCGTTTTTCCTCGTAACTTCAAAGTACGCCTTCGCCGCATTTCGTTACACAAGTCAGCTGAGCGAGGAGACAACAACGACGTGTTTTTTTTTTTCTCCTCCTCGAGTCACGTCGCACACGGGAGACGCACAACAAGGGGAGGGGGAGAGTTTCGAGTGATGGAGCAGTTCAGGTACGCTGTGGGGAGTTTCGTGCGCGGTGTTTACGATTCCATCGTAGGTATCGGTGTCGTCGTAACCCTGCAAGCCGAGCAAAACAAGAGTGCAGCGCGGAAATCCGCTAATGCGCAGTCCACGACGACGCTGGCCCTACGTAGGGCCGCGGTCCTGCAGGCTAGTCCATCCTCGGGAGCTTCTTTGTCATCAGCTGAACTTCAGCTGCAAAATGCACCTGCTACACCCCCGTCGACCCCGAAACGGAGGGGCGAAGAGCCGCTGCTAATATACCGCATATTTCAGTGCTGTTGTCTGAACGGCGGCGTCTTCATGTGCAGCGTGCTCGTCTTCTACAAGTTTCTGCTCCCGACCGTTCTGTCTCTCATAGTCTCTCTCTTCGGCGACACCGAGGAGTCATCGGCGAACACCATTTGGAGCGGGTTGCATCCCCTGCTCGTGTGCACCTTCCAAGCCCTCTGGGTGCTGCCGCTCTTCCTGATGAGCAAAGTAGTGAACTGCCTCTGGTTCCAGGACATTGCGGACATTGCGTTCCGCTACACCACCGGCGGTCGCCAGCGGTTCCTGCCCAGCGTGAGCCGCATCCTGTCGGACATTTTGTTCAGCGTTCTCGTTCAGACGCTGTTCCTCATCCAGTCGCTGATCGTGGGCGCCCTGCCGGTCGGGAGGGTGAGCGAGCTCGTCAGCCTGGTGCACCTGAGCATGCTGAACTCGCTCTACGCCTTCGAGTACGTCTGGTTCAGCCGCGGCTGGGAACTGCACCGAAGGCTCTCGTTCATCGAGGAGAACTGGCCGTACTTTGTCGGGTTCGGACTCCCGCTAGCGGTCATCACGTCCTGGTTCGAGTCCTACCTCCTGAGCGGCTCATTCTTCTCGGTACTGTTCCCGCTCTTCATCCTGAGCGCCTCCGGGGTGACGCCCGCCACTGGAACCACTAGGTAAGCAGGCGGATTAGAGTTCTTCGGATGTGGCATGCATATCTCCCACACACATATACAGCGATTGTTTCTTTACCATTACATCTACCCAACAGGCTACGCCGAGACTTCATCACATAACGTGGGTACCACGCAGGATATGGCATGACGCATGCACAGTGGCAACGAACACTAATGCAAAGCTTTGTGTACCCTGTTCTGAAACTGCCTCTTGGAAAGTTCCAGGATAGGACACACACAAAGCTTTGCGTTGGCCTTCGTTGCCACTTTGTGTGTGTCGTACGCTATCGTGTTGCATACTCATGTTAAGTGACAGAAATAAAGTACACGTCCTACAAACGGCATGTTCGCATACTGCCTGCCATTCACACAAAGTGGAACAAGGTATGCCGAGCGTTACGTACGAAATCGTTCCAGGAGTTGTCACTGCTGCTTATGCACGAAATGCAAGCTCCTTGTGTGTGCTCTCGCGATTCTTGCGTACACAGCAGGCTTTGCATGCCCTAATATGACTTCAACCCCGAGCTTTCTCATTCTTTTGCACACTCCTTGCATTCATCTGTCTGCCTGCCAGAGTACAGTGGAACAGCAGAGTGCCTTCGCCTTTCGGCGCTGCATCAACAAACGAAAGAACACTTCATGAGGTAGAGGGTATGCAGAGCTTTGCATATGTGATTATGTTGCATTGTTCCACGGCACATGCATGAAATGCGAGGCTGTTGGGTATGCTGGCAATTCTAGCGTACCAAGCAGGCTTTGTGTGCTTTAATTCAGCCCAAGCCTACCCACTCTTTTGTACTGTCCACGTGTTCTTCCAAATGCCAGCCAAAGTACAAAAGAATGTCAAATGAAGTTTATGTTTTTTGCCACCATGTATGTATGGAATGTGAACCTTTTGGGTACGCTCATAATATTTTTGTACCCATCAGGCCTATGTATTCTTACAAGACTTCAGCCCCAATTTTTCACTTTCTTTTGCATTTTTCTCTTGTTTTTGTGCCCAATAGCTGGAGTATGGGAGCAACACAATAGCTTGTGAGTCTTGCTACTAATCCCTTTCTAAAGCTCTACCTTCACTAGTGTGTGTGCTCTAGAGTACCTTGCATTTGACGCATCTGCATGTGCGAAAGAACCGACAACTCGAATCAGTCATGTACGCAAGGCTGTTGCAAAACTCCGATGCAATTCTCTTCGGCCATGCATGGTTCCTGGACCACAAAACACTGTATTCATCGTCATGGATGTTGCATATGCTTCAGACAGGTTTTTCACTTCAAGTAGTGTATTCACATGGCAGGAACATTGGCATGAAAGCAGTCGTGAACAAAACTCTGAAAAGTATGCAGCAGCGGCCAGGTTGGTGTAATGTTGGGATGATGTAACTAAATTGAAATAAATGGCACAGTTGCTGCTGGTACAGTACTTGAAGTTTGAAATGTAAAAGTTCCTAAGTTAATGCTCACACTTTAGTTTCCAGGATCTACAGATTGAGCCATATCAGCGCAATTTTCATTCTGAGACTTGCATTGCAGCAAACATTATCTTTAGTGGCCAGATTCGCGGCAACATGATATGGTTGTCCCGAGCGATTCCTCATAAAAATCGTTGCACTAAATAAAGTGATACCGTGTTTCAATCTGCGAGTACTGTGCAGGCAGCACTTGCATGCCTAAATTTTGACACACATTGTCAGCGTTGACGGGAGTACCTACAATGCAAATATTCTCAGTATTGGATTGATTAAATGTGTGTGCTTGTGCTGAATAACAGGATCTTGATTTTGGAATATGGCATGCCTATTTAAACATAATCTAATTAGCATTATCACAGACAAACAAGATAAAGTATGCTGTTCAGTTTCGTTCCTTTCTGTAACATTAGTGTGGCTCTTTTTAGTCTGCATGTACTCTAAAATTGAATTTAACGACCTAGTCTCCATCAATTTGACTAATGTATGAATTTCGTAGAGCAAACTTATTTGGTTTGTCTCCAGCTAGAGTGTGTGACAGTTTATGGGTCTCTTAGTATCAACATCATCAGCCCGACTACATTTGCAGGACAAAGGCCTTTTCCATGTTCCGCCAGTCAACTCAGCCCTGTGCTTGTTGCTGTCACTTTATACCCGCAAATTTTATAATCTCCTAGTATAGCAAGTTTCTATTCCTGCCGCATTTTTTGTCAAGATGGCCACATTGTTCTGTTCTCTACCTCGTTGTGACCATACGCTGCCACCTGTTGGGCTCTTTCAGGTATCCTCTCAAGCTCTTTTCTCCGTCCATATGGGTGGCTAATGCCATTTTCCATCGGCTGACCGCAAACTGCACTGCCAAACCGCTTGTTCGACCTGCAGTTCCGCAGCAAAAGCGGGCAACCACCCGCGAGCTCCGCAAGAAGTCGGCGTCACTACGTACGTCGCCACGGACATCACGCCCGAGGACCGCTGCCACGCCCAGCTGATGGATTCACCCGGCAACTCTGCGGCCTTCCTGACATTTCCCCGCACAAAGCTGCAGTCTGAGAGCCGCATTCGTAAACCGCCACGCCGTTCACGAATGCGATTACTTCACTCCGCAGCATTGACACGGCGCTTGCCACAGCCACGAGGTCTAGGGTGCTGCAAGGTTGAGGTGGCTGCCACAATCTGTGGGCATCATGACTGGATGGGTGTCGCCCCTCTTGGGACTGTGCGACACGCCCGGCTTTGTTCATGGGCACCTTAGTTTTTAACAGGTTTTTAATTATTTGACTCGTCATTTGAGGTGTGTCAGCCTTGAAATGTGCCCTTGACTGCCACAGACAAACTTTCTTTTTTTTATTTAAGCAGGGCGTTTCACGACGCTCTTCATAAGTAAGGTCTCGGCTGTCGCTGCTACTTTGCAACAATGAAACAGAGACATTCAATCACTACTGCAAGCAGCCACATGCGCACAATATACAGGACACTGTAGAGATTATGTTCCTTGATTCCTTTTGAACAAGGGATCTTTTATGAACTACGGTTGCTGAAATAAAAGTGCACATTTTATTGTTTTTAGTTGAGAGTGCTAGTCTCTTTCATTTTCAACATTGGCCGTAACCTCCACATAAAATTCTATCTTTGGAAGCCTGTAGTGAACTGTTCCTTAATGCCACGATGTTATGCAAGTCTATTAAAAAGGAATTTGTAAGTTAAAGCAACTCTTGCAGTGACACCACAGGCAGGTAGATGGTCTTCTCGAGAAATTTCGGCCCAACTAATGCCACTATCACCTGTTTGTTTAACAAGCAAGAAGCAGTAGACGTCGATGTTGCAAACACTGGGTCTACTGCACATGAACCTTGAAAGCAGCTTTACTTGGCATATCGGCTGTTCTTACCTGTGGCTGCTAAACCTTGCAGTAACCTGATGCTTAAGCCTGTTTGCACACACGGCTATCTTGAGGTACTGTGGTGTTGACAGTTTTCGATCACACCTTTCCCACTTGCTTCTACATTTTTTGGCTAACATTGGCGAGCTGAGCGAGCGTTCAGTAAAATTGCAACTGCTGAAACGCGGATGACGTTTAATCAGTTTTGGCTGAGCTAGCTTTAAGTATGGTATCGTGCAGTGTGGGACCAAAGCTTGTTTGACACGTGCCTGAGTTGTATCTGTCTTGCCTAGTTGTAACGCTTTGTCGTACACCATTGTGCAATCTAAGATTCTGATAGTATGCATCGCCACCCAGCCCTTCTTGTGTGTGCAACTTTTAAAGGTTGTTGTTAGTTTGCAGCCCATTTGCATTGCCTTCTGTTGATGCTGAAGAAGGAAACAACTTTGGCACCATTTGAATTGCGCCGCACTTCACCAGTTGGAAAGTGAGAGTGCATGAAAATCGCCGCTTGCAATGCCCGCAAAATTAAATGTCGGATCTCTTTTTCCCTGGCTGAACTGCTGGGTTGTGGCCTACAGGTGGGCTTTCTAACGTGGGCCTCGGTTTCTGGGTAGTTAGGCACCACCTGAACAAGTTCGTAAAGTTCAGGTGAATTGACTGATTCTTGGCCTAAGGAGACACCATTGTGTTCCGTTGCAACCTTGTTGCTCGATGATCCAGGAAATCGGGCTGTTGGAGCCGTGATACGTATTGACACTTGAGTTGTGAAAGTTTTGTAAGCGCCCGTTTCGAAAAGACCTAAAGTTCGCCGGTTAACTTGTCTTGTTTTTCGCACGTCGCTGCTCGTTAGATGAGAGATATGAGCAAGAGAAAGAAAATCGTGCACCAAACAGTGGAACCAGAAATCAATGGATCATGCGACATTGCCTTCTTGTGAGAGTTCTTTGATGTGGGAACTGGTTTTGTTCTGCCTAATATAATTACGGTCAATGCAACATTAAAGCAATACAAGCAGTCTGTAACGAAATTTGTAACAAGACAGTTCACATTCATTGGCACACTATGCTGGGCAAAGCAACACATAGTTTAAAAACATGTACAGAAAGTTCCAGAAAAAAACAACACTCTTACGACTACCGAAGTGAAATGTGCTCACAGACGTACAACTTGCAGAGAAAATGTTACAAAAGACATTGTTGCAAGTCGCCTGTCGTAACAGTGCATGTGCTTATAAAAGTAACAGAACTGTTATGGCAGAACACACTGGTCTTGGCATAGAAATTGAGAGGCGATGTCAGTGCTACAGCTCTCTATACACTAATCTGACACGTGCCGATTACTGGTTAAACCTCAACGAATAAAAGAGCAGCATTCTTCATAAAGACCGTTTGACTTTGCACAAATGTAAGAAATGCTGTATGGCAACTCTAGCAGTTCACTTTAGAAGGCGCACTATAGAAAAGTTCAATGTCATACCATGCATTTAATTGCACACCCTTTTGCAGACTGTCTATTGGACATAATCCACAGATATCTAAAGTTCACCTTTTTCATGCAGAGCCGCAGACTTACACACTACACGCTTTATACATTTAGCCAATTTTTGTGTAAAACGAGTCTTAGGAGTCAAATCTGTTTCTGTTTCGTAGAGCGAAGTACAATGCCACAAATTTATTCCTTTCATTATGTATGTCATAGTGGCTCTCCTATTAAGACATATTCAATAATTTTTGATCGGTCAAAAGACATGTTTAGATTAATTTCAGTCACCGAATTGCAGTACTTTAGCTAAAATGCCCATTTAAACAACGTCGCCAGAGTGCAGGAAATATTTGTGCCAGTTTGAGCATTATCAGAGTTTTCTTACCTGCAGTTTTGACTAACGTAAACCAAATGTTCCAACACACTGCTGTGTCAGGAATGCACAGGCCTCATTTGAGTGTTCAAAGCACGGGACACTCTAGCCAGTATTTCCTGCAACTTTCGCATGCCGACTTGATATTCAATGTTACGAAAATCGCTGTTCCTCTGCTGCATGTTGGAGAAGTTTAATCAAGGGCGGAGTTTTCCGGCTTTCTCAAGACCCCTCATCACTGTTCGGTGTTGCTGGTCTCTGCATCAGGTGTGACGCTGTGGAGCTGGTGTTTCACCTGCGGTTTCTGGCAAATTCACATTGGTCTCTTAGCATTCACACGTTGTAGTTGGGTTCCGATCACAAGTCTTTGGGCTCCTTCACCATTCGTCTACTTCAGCGCAAGTGGTCTTGCTCCTATTTCTATGGCTGGCAGGCTTATACATTCACCAGCGGAAGCTTTTTATAGGCCCGATGCACTGCACCACCGGACAATTGCCACTCTTGGGGCTTCTTTCACGACATCTGAAAGACAGTGCAACTCGTCCTTTTAATAAGATCGGCAACTCTACTGTTTTCGTAGTCCACAGACTGCGGTACGTCATACGCCCAGTGCTTTCTTGAGCCTTAGGGAAACGTTACGGACATTTATTCTGGTGGCAGCATTGTACGCAACCCAGTGGCCAGCGGTCACACTATTCACAGTGCCATACTTTCTGCAGCTTGTACTGCGTATATGGGAACGCAACTTGCACTGCTTTTCAGCTACTGGGAGAAAAAAACCTGAGGCATTAGGGTGCGTGCTTAGGCATTACGCTTGTACAAGCCCGTGAAGTGAATGTTCAATATGCGTTAAACACTTTGACAGCTTTCTCAATGTGAGGTTTTTCGTACAGACCAATGGTTAGTGTAGTCTCGCTCATAGCTGGATAACTGAAAGGAGAGGTTCTTTGGTGAAGTGGAGGTTTTTGTGTCAAAAGGGATATTATCGTGACACTTATTTTATTCCTGTGGCCTTGTCCCTGTGTGAGAATACAGCTCCTTGTAATTAGGCTAGTGAGTCCATTACTCCAAATGCAAGCAGCACAAAAAGAAAAGGCTCGTTGTACTGCATCCCAGGGTCCTTTGAATTCTGCCCTTTACATCCTAGTGTGGCTTGGCGATTATGCTGACATTGGCCTCTACACGCACTGTGCTCCTAGTTGCGAACTCTTTCCAGCATTAAGCAAGCAGGAATTTCACCATACACGTTCGTAGCTTTCACTGCTTCTTTTAGAAGCTGCTATTATACCCACAGTTTGTTTGCATTTCAGGAGAAGGTTCATTCTCTCTACAACGAAAGCTTGGAACGTGAGGGTGTACGAAAATCACGTGCTGCAATGCCTGCAAAATGAAACCTCGGTAGTGAATGCTTGGGCCCACAAAGTGAGAATATATAATATACTACGTACACCCCAGATTTCTTCTGGAAGTATGTCATCGAGCTTGCAAGTGCTACAAACAGTTTGTAATATTAATGAACACAAAGAACGCTTATGTCGTAGCTTTGACTCTCTTAGAAACAGCTTCCTTGCCCTTTGCACAGACCTTTGCCTGTTGTTATCATGTATTTCCTTGGAAAATTAGCTCAGTATTGACTGTTGGCCATTGCGGAGTGCCCCCTGCACTCTAGTGTAAAGAAAAAAAATGTTGCACGTATTGTTCTCTTGCAAGTGGTACCTAATGGAACTATAGTTATTACTAACTAATGACTGAGTCAACGTACGTCATTAAAAAATGACATGCAACTACAAACTGGCACACATAATAACTGTAAGGGGGATATTTATTCCCATGAAATATCGCCCCTGTGGGTTTACACACAGGCGTTCCAAAGAGGCAAGGAGCCGCCAGTACACTCATTTACTGCCTTTTATTTGTGTGTGCGTGCATGCAAAGACTACATTTTTACTTTTAACTTGTGGCGCTTTACGTGTGACTTTGTGTTTTAACGCGCACTGCGAGTGATGTCATCTGTGCGTCGGAATGTACTTTGAACGTGATATGCTCGTTTGTATTGGTGCTGGTATTATTTAAATGCTGAGAGCCTGTGATCATGTAAATTGGTGTGTAAATATGATCTTTTTTATTTGTCTTGATGGCGCATGAATTTCTTAAGTGAGATAGAATCAAATATATATATATATGTATACTGATGCACTTGGCTAACCTGTCTGGTAGAGGGGTAGCGCCTCGATGTGAGTGTATAATGTGTGTGTGTTATATATCATCTCCAAGGAGGGTGTCTAAAAGGTGCCATCTACTTGTTCTAATATGGCTGGTGTGTCGAATTTTCTTATAGTGCAATGTGTGGGTGTTTTCAACCGTGTAAAGTGCAACGCCCTGGTCATTGCTGCCGTGCACTCAGCCATGTAAAAAGCACATTTTTTTGGAGTATTAATAAATACGCCAAAGCTTTATGCAAAAATCACTTTTCCTGTGTCTTGTGTTGTTATCAGCTCGTTACAGCAACTGATTTTTGTGGCAACGCTGTCCATCACAGCTATCGTGCATTGCAAGGATGAAAACGAGGGTTGAAACTGCAATTAAATAACGGCATTCTTTTATTGTTGGCAGGTGTTCTAGCAGAGCAACACGTCAGTGCTCAAAACTGCTTCAGAAAGTGGCCCTGTAAAAGTGCAATGTCGAATGGACTCATTTTATCATTTATGCAAACACTGCATAGCAGAAGTGTGGAATTGCACAAGGCATTGCACCATATGAATTTTTATAATGAATGGGTGGCTCAAAGGGACACTAAGGCAAATATTAAATCGATATTGACTGCTGAAA